ATCGCCATCATTGCAGTCAACCTGAACCATCACGTTCTGTTAATGATCATCGCATTCCCAGGGACAACATACAAACTTCACTGAGGAAGTCTCTGGTTTTCTTTGTCCAGTTGACAGCGAAGTTCCCATTGGTTGTCATATTCTTGCTGATAATACTCTATGCAATACCGACAAGTGCAGCCATATTGGCGATGTACATTCTAGTCACTCTCTTGCTGGCTCTACCGTCGTTTCTCATCCTCTACTTCGCCTATCCTTGTCTTGACTGGCTTGTCCGAGAGATTGTCACATGAACTATCTAAGGAAGCTTTCGGAAACTTCCCATTCCTAATTTGACGACTTTTCTTCAACAACTGAGACCCAAGATCGGTCCGTCCTTCATGTAAGTATAACAATTTCGTAATTACCGTCTACCTTATTGATATATGGATGTAGTTATGGATTGCATTGTTGCTCTATGGAAGCTGGACGCATGTGTTGTAAGGGCTATTGCAGAAACTTATTAGTATTCTACTATTTGAGGATTTGTTTGTGATTGTTTGAGGTTTTGTCTCAATAAGATTTGTGTATATAAAGTTTATGCAATGTTATTAGGAATTGTGTATATATGTAACTAAATTGGTTTTCCATATACATAGTGATTAAAATGGTGTGGTTTTTGTTTAGAATTTTTTATTTGTCCCAATTCCATAGAAGTTGAAACTTGAACTCTATTAAATCCTCTTCATTAAGTCTGAATCCGATAGAAATCTCTAAAAGTTGTTTTAAATTAAAAGGGGCTAATGCAAAACCCAAAATTACCACATCATTTACACAAACAAAATTATTTTTATTCTTGTTCATTCATCATCTTCATATGATCATATCCATATACTTTTCTTCTTCTTCTCTGATTTCTCATTGTCATCGACCTTATCCTCTAACTTTCTATTCTCTTCTCTTTTTATGTTGTCTTCGGAAGCATCAACCATTGATTAAATCCTCTTCATTTTTTTTTTTGCTAAGAATGTAAATATTTCATAAAAATGAAAACATATTAAGTTTACAATCAATGATTTTCAACCTAGAGAAATGGTCCCATGGCAAAAAGATATAACATGAAAGCATAAAGATAACGACAGTATTCGGTTTATCCACTTGACCATAGCAAAGGATACTACGGGAGTTAGATGAAGCAATGACAATTTTGTTGTTCTTCTTTTATGAGTTGCAAAAGGAGAAGGGCAAAAGATAATTGTGACCGCGGAGCTGCAAAAGACACTAAGTTCTAGAAGCCTTTCACGAGAGGTCCGAGACCGAGCTGCCAACGGCGAGGAACTCCAAATCCTTGCTCACATTCTCTCCCCTTGAAAAGTGAGAGAGATTCTTTGTCCAAGTCCATGAGCTTACCCTGAACTGAACCGCACAAGCTAAATTATGCCAACAGTATGTGCTCCTTCTACCAAGTTCACCCGAAGTTGGCTAGTGCAGAGCAAGATTAAAGTAAATCACCACTACACCAAAAACCAATAGTCTTACTAGCTCCTCTAAAGCACAATCTAAAAGCAAGCGACATGTGAGAAACGCCGAGCAAAGCTTCCTTCAACCTTTACACAACAACAAAAAGCAAACCGCAACAAAATCAGGCCTTGAACCAAATCAAAAGTCTTGATATACCTGTAATGTTCTCAAGTGTTGACGACAACTAGTTACCACCGATAACTAAATCATCCACAAATCAAACACCACCGCAGCCACTCGAAAGAGAAAAAGAGTATCCGATAAGGTGTTAGAGCTTGACCCGCAAAGAGGAAAACACTCTCCTAAGTCCTAATGATCTTGCCAATGTCCACGAGCAGAAGATGCCAACAGAGAAGTGCTTCTCCGAAAAGCTAAGGATTGTCGCCACAGAAAACTCAAAGTGAACACAAACAGTAGCCATGCCCTGCAACCTAGGTGAGAGAATAATGAAAGAGAGGCCGAGACAACAAAGACTCAGAGAGTCGAAGAGCACCATTGCTTCATCTGAAAGAGCCAATGAGTACACACACATCAAACAAACCAAACTTCCAAACTTTTTTCACAAAGAAACCAAGAACAAGATTTTGAATCACTTCTTTCATTCCATCGACATTTTTACACGGGACAAAACCTTCATAACTTTATCGTAAAACTCGAGCTATTGAAGATCTTTGTTTGTTCTGTGAAGAAGAAGAACAAGGGTTGGATCCTTATTTGTTCGCCTTTACTTTTTGATCCAATGGTTTATGTGTGACATATTTGACAAAGTCACAAAGACTTGCGTTAAACAAGACAAGCTGATAGTCTTCTCATCAGCTTCGGTCCCCTTTTTAACCTTGGGACTTGAGTTTACATCATCTTTTTGTTTTGATACCAAAATAATATATATATTAGACAAAGACAATCTTATGAAAAAGTTATACTGCTATCTAAAACACAACAATAAAATTATTGAATAATATCATTTATAAATGATGTAGAATGGAGTTACAATATCATAGGAAAAAAAAATTTCATGGCAGAATAACTATAACGATATAGAGGCTGCTAACTTTAAATCTTTACAAAATAGTAAAAAAAAATGAAAAAAAAAAAATACTTGATACGTAATAATAGAAATGGTTACACATTGGAATTGGGTGCAACACGACTTAGGTTGTTGCCCGGAAAGAAGGAACAGACCCAACACACCATGCAGAAGACAAAAAAACAAGAGAAGGAAGCATAATGAGATTAGTTCCACTGGACTCATATGAAACATATTGTTTTTTTTCACCACACCAAAACTTGTGTCTTCTTTGTAGTATATTGATCTCACAAGAAGAGTATAAATACACGTCCACAACTTGGTACGTAATCAAAGCAAAATATAACCAAAACAAGTTAACAGAATATGGAAGAAAAAAAAGTTAACATAACAATACATGCAAATATACAAAACTTTAATCTGAGAATCTAAAAACGAGAAAAAACAATAAGAAGTTAACATAACAATATGATGCAAATATACAAAATTTTAATGTGAAAATAAAAAACAAATACAAAAAGGAAAATTTAACATAATTCAGTAAGATGCAAATATAGAATTATGTATGCTTAGCTGTTCTGTTTATTCGTAGGAAAATGGTAGGAGTTTTTTCCTACGAAATTTTGCGAAGGAAAATGGTAGGATTTTAGTTTTTTGTTCTCCAATTTCCTACACAAATTTGTGTCGTAGAAATTTTCTACCATTTTTTCACCATCATTTTGGTAGGAAATTTCCTTACCATTTCCTACTAATTTAGGTTTTCGTCAGAAAATCGAAGGTAAAAGGTAGGAAAGTTTTTCTACCAAATTTTTCGTAGGATATTTCGTAGGAATACATGATGTTTTCACATACAATAAGATGCAAATATAGAATATAGAATTATGTATGCTTGGCTCATAATGTCTACAGTAACTAGATCCTTGACTGTGTTGTGCTTAGAGTTAAAAAGCATTAATTGTGATCTACGATATGAAACAAAGACTCAAAGAGCGTTCAAATGCGATGTATACACAAAAGGAAAGAGTTAAGCTGTCTTAGTTTGTGTGTTCCTCTTCCACCACAGCAAAATCAAGCCCGGAAATCTTCATTGGTCCAATGTTAACTGCCAAAAACCCCAAATCAGTTCTTGTGTTGATCCAACAAAACAAGAAAACATAATGTAATGAGAATGGCAAAAGAATAAAGTGTTGGTTCTACTTACTAACAGCATCAAGTCCAGCTAATTTGGGCATAAACTGTCTGATATGGTCCTCTGCTGCTTTATCTGCCTTCAATGTCTCACACTCGAACGAAACAGATACTTTCTTCTTGCCGTGTTTTTCTTCGACTAATCCTATCACATCTTCCTCCCACCTTTTCAAGGATAAGTAGTAATATTCATTAAACATAGGAAAGTAAAAGACTCGCACAAAAGGGATTTTAAGTTTAACTCATTCGAATGTTTTCTCCGAAAAGCTTTGAGCATTATGACTTTCCCACTCCAGATTTAATAAAATTATCTTCTATGAAAAACTTCCCTGGGTTGATTTGCATAACAGATACTAGACAAGGACAACTTACCCGTGAGCATGCTCGACATCATTAATTCGAGCAGCATCATGGCCTTTGCATTCCACTACAACTGTTTGTTCCTTCTTCCTCTTTCTCACCAAAAGATACCGAGGAACAAAGTCAATATCATGATTTGAAAATTAAGAGTTAAGAGTTACAAAATAAAGTGAGAAATTCATACATTGTAGTCTATGATAGTGAGTTTGATTAAACGATAATCCTCACCGCGGCTACACTCAGTCTCACAAGCCAGTTCTTTGGACATAGAAAGACAACATCAATAATACAACAAAAATGCAGTGTCATGTCAAAAAAGCCACACTAATTAAGCAATTGAGTTACAAAGATCTATATCATGTTCAATCATTCATAGTATCAATAGATATAACTAATGCGAGATTAAGTATTTAACCTGAATCATTTACATGCTTTAGGACCAAACATTCCCATCAAAACACGAACATCTAATTGCAAAACAGAATCAAACCCAACAAAGAAAAAAGACCAAATTTTTTGGTTTGCCCCTAGTAAGAGAAGAGTGAAATTACCAGTGCCATGGAGGCCATAACAGATAGAGCTAGGCATCTGAATGAAATGACCAGAGATAGTCCCACATGGCAACAAAGCTATTGATGCTATTCCTTCTTTCACTTCTCCTTCTTCCTCTTTCTTCTTCTTCTCTATCTCTCCTTCTCTTCCTTCATCTGCAATAACACCAATTCCTTTACCACAACATCATTCAAGAAACCCAGAAACAGTTTCGAAATAAAGCCAGAAACTTTACCCATTGTTGCTTGATAGAGAAATCGATTCTTTAACACTCTACCAAAGTGTTTGGCTTTAGGGTGTTTTTCAACTACTTTAAAACGGCTGCGTTTCAAGATCCTTAAGCGACGTCGTTTCTCTTTTCAAACGTCGTTTGGCTCTGTCTCTCTGCTGTATCATCATCATCTTCTTCTCCTTCCTTGCACACTCCTCAGCCTCAGATCAGAACAGGCTAAATTCATCAATTCTGCTCAAAGAACAGAGCTTTGGTTTGGTTTCGTGTCTTGGGTACTGGTTATTACGTAGCTGCTCTTCTTTGATTAAGAAAAATTCACTAAAGCTGTCGTCTTTTTGCTGATTAGGACTTGGTTTCTCAGCTTTCGTCAGAATTATGCTGAAAGAGTAAGTTCTCTCTGCTCTGTGTTGAGATTGGAGGTGTAGCTTGCTGCGTTTAGCTCTTCACTGTATTATCATGGGAGCTGTCTGGTTGAGTCATGTCTCTCAATTGGATTGTGGATGTTATTCAATTGAGAAGAGCTGTTGTCTTTGGAGAACTTCTCATTGGTCTTTGAGTCACTCGTTAGACTTTGCATTGACCATGAAGCCGAAACGAAGGTGTCTAAGTGTAAAAATGGAGTCTTTTTATTTGGCAACACCAAAAATGTGTTTCAAGAAGGTGAGTAGTGAATTAGATAGATCTTTCAACGGTGAAAATACGGTTTTTGGTTCGGAATTGGAGGATGAACATGGATTGAGAGAAAGAGGGAAGCAAATTAGTTTCTTTGATGATTTATTGGTTGAAAATGAGGTAGAAGAAGAGAAGCCTGTATTTGATGATAGGAATAGGATACATTTTTTGGAGGAGCGGAACGAAGAGATGTTATCGAAGAGGCTTCTGAAACTTAGCAGGTTGGATAAAGTAAGAAGCGCATTGGAGTTGTTTGATTCTATGAGATTCTTGGGTTTACAACCTAATGCTTATGCATGTAACTCTTTTCTCTCGTGTCTCTTGAGGAATGGAGATGTACAGAAAGCCTTTACCGTTTTTGAGTTCATGAGGAAAAAGGAGAATGTCACAGGGCACACGTATAGTTTGATGTTGAAAGCTATTGCAGAGGTTAAGGGTTGTGATTCTGCACTAAGAATGTTTAGAGAACTAGAAAGGGAACCGAAATATAGGAGTTACTTCGATGTGGTTCTTTATAACACTGCGATTTCTCTATGTGGACGGATTAATAATGTGTATGAGACAGAGAGAATATGGAGAGTTATGAAAGGTGATGGTCAAATTGGAACAGAGATTACATATTCTCTGCTTGTTAGCATTTTTGTTAGGTGCGGGAGAAGCGAATTGGCACTTGATGCATATGATGAGATGGTTAACTACAAGATATCTCCAAGAGAGGATGCGATGTATGCGATGATAAGCGCGTGTACAAAGGAGGAAAAATGGGATTTGGCCCTAAAGATATTTCAGAGTATGCTAAAGAAAGGAATGAAGCCTAATCTTGTAGCGTGCAATACTTTGATAAATTCGCTGGGAAAGGCGGGAAAAGTCGGATTGGTGTTTAAGGTTTACAGTGTTGCAAAATCGTTGGGGCATAAACCAGACGAGTACACGTGGAATGCGCTGCTCACGGCTTTATACAAAGCAAACCGATATGAAGATGTTCTTCAGCTGTTTGATATGATAAGAAGCGAAAACCTGTGTTGTCTGAATGAATATTTGTACAACACAGCTATGGTGTCATGCCAAAAGCTTGGTTATTGGGAGAAAGCTGTGAAGCTTTTGTATGAAATGGAAGGTTCGGGGTTAACAGTTTCAACTTCATCATATAATCTGGTGATAAGTGCTTGCGAAAAATCAAGGAAATCAAAAGTTGCATTGCTAGTATATGGGCACATGGCTCAAAGGGATTGTAGGCCAAACACGTTTACTTATCTGTCGCTTGTAAGGAGTTGTATTTGGGGTTCCCTTTGGGACGAGGTTAAAGATATCCTAAAGGTATGAGCTTTCTTTAGGTTTGTTAATCAAATGCGTGCTGATTTAGAAGAGGTTAGGTAATGTTGTTTGTTTCTTGAACAGAAAGTGGAACCCGATGTGTCGCTTTACAACGCAGCTATACATGGGATGTGTTTAAGACGCGAGTTCAAGTTTGCAAAAGAACTGTATGTCAAAATGAGAGAGATGGGTTTGGAACCGGATGGCAAAACCCGAGCTATGATGTTACAGAACTTAAAGAAACACCAAAAATAAGGTTATAATGCTTTTTGTTCTACTCGCACTTCTTAGCATTGCCCAATATCATAAGCCAAAATTCAGTAAAACAGTTGGTCTCTAATTTGGCATTGTATTCATGCTCACTGTGATGAATGTTTTGGTGGCCAGTGTTCAGTGTTCATTCTCCTCAGAAGCTATTTGAAGGACTAGGTGGTGATGGTGTTGTTTGTCTTTGATAAATGAGGTTTATGGACATAGATCAAAGGTTTGGCGATGACATAGCTCGTGCCCAGTTTCTAACATTGGCTACAGATGTTTGAATCTGGAATATAAGGCTGCTGCGCCGGCTCTACACCAGAAGGCTAGATCTCATTCTCAGGCAGTGAGGTTTGTGTGTCGTTATTTTGTCCTCTCGTTGTGGCACACACAATTCGCGATTTTGAAACACTAGAATCTTGTCACAATGAGGAAGCTCAGATACAGAGCCACCATTGATGGCATCAGTCTTCATGTTCTTAAATTATGCAATTTATTGTTAGCTTAGTTTTGAAAAGTTGAAACAATGGGTCTTGTATTAGATGTTGACAAAGAACAGAGGACAGATCTCATCCAGAAGAAACGATTTTGAAAATTAAAGCAAATATACTCAGATTAAAGACATAGAAGATAGAACTAACAGAAACAACAAAACCATGTTCTTGAATAATAGATGTATAAAGCTAGTTAAAGAGAGAAAAACAGTAAAATAGACGCATAGATAAGAGCACAAAATGACAAGCCCATTGCTTTCACCTAACTAGCTCCAACGATCGTCTCTAACCTTAGTCTGATTCTGAATCTGATGGTTCATAATATTCTGGCTCCACCAATGGAGGATGGACTGACTTGAGTTGTTTTAAATCGTTAACATCAAGATCCTCTACGTGGTTTACAAAGGTGCGAACGCTACAAGTCTCCTTAAACGCTTCACCAAAACCTTGGATTTCAACACGTTGGAGAGTATTCCTTTCGGGATTGAAGTAGAAAACATAAAACGGTTGTTTAGATGTATACTTGCGCATCGAAAATACTATTTCACCCAAAGGAGTCGCTCCAGCGATGGAAACATGACGACGGAAGAATGTATCATCGGTCCAAGTGTAGGCATATTTAGACCATTCCTGTTTCTCAACATCCTCTAGAACCCACACATGCAACTCATTAGTGGCTTCAACGTCGAGATTTTCCTCCAAATATTTATCGAGATCGCGACCTGCGTAATAATTAATCTCATAAATGTCGACATCATCCACCCAATAAATCACAGCTAATTTGTCCTTGTAGAGAGGATTTGTCAATTGATAAACTACAAGGGCAAATTATAAGTGCGGTTGCGAGTTGCTTTCTTCACAAAGTTCATTGCAAAAAAAAGAAGAAAAAAAAAACACCTTTGGACACTTGCAGTAGTAACACCCACCAATAAGGGTGGTGCAAACCCATGGATTTTAGAAAAATATATGTAAGTTAAATGACTTTTAAAGTATGCACTCAATTCAAATAAAATTTTGCACCTAATAAATATAATAAATATTTAAACTCCAAAGCCCAACAAACGTAACAACTTTGTAAGCCCAGTTGGTCTTTTTTTTTTTGTCGAAAATAAGAATTAGGGCAAAGGTAAACCTGTTATAAATCTAATTAAAACCCTCAATTAGACATTCGTTCCCATGGTTTTCTGCCGTGGAAGAAGATTGGAGGAAAGAAAAATCATACGTTTGAGAAAATTATCACACAAACGAATCTGTAAGTTCTATGAACTTTCTTATAATTTTCAGTACTTTTATTTGTTTCCTAGTTTTTAAAAATAATTTCTTAAGCTAATTGCAGAATTTTAGGGTTTTTATTATAGTTAATTTTAAAATTTGTGAAGCATATGCTCGTTTCTTCTTGTAACAATAAAACGATGATTGATTATAATAATCAAAACCAAATCGATGATCATAGTTGCCATTTTGATTTATTATTGGCCAAAGGAAAACTCCAAAACATAATCTGTAGCTAACTATATTTTCAATAGAGTATTTGATAGTTATATATACTTCAAATCGTTTACTCGTCCGATATATGGTTGATTGGTAGTGGTGATTTTATTTAGATGGTTTTAGAATTTATGAGACATATTTTTGAGATAGTAGAGCGATATTATAAAAGAAAGTTGTACTCAGATTCTGATAATAATTTGGAAGATTTAATAGATTAACTAGAGTCCATATCAATTTTTTTGTTCTTTTTTTTTTCAATAGGTCCATGTCAATCCTATGGTTATGGCTTTTCGAGACAATAAATTGAAAATATAATGAGGTGATTTAACCCAAATTAATTTTAGAAGTATGGTAACTGACTAGAGAATAGTATATCGATAGATAAAGCTTTCTGTTTGTGTTGCTGCTAATTCAAAGTTGATATACCTAAACAATGTGAAAATGATGCGTTTGTGGCAGAAAGTTTTTCTAATTGGAACAAACCTCATAATTTGGGTGAATATGTGGTAAAACGTCAAATGGCTTTCATAATATTGGAAGAATAAAATCCAGCCTATCGTGCATGCTTAATTTGTATAGTGTTACAACAAAAAATGAGTATCACATTCGATTGATGCTTATATATATTTGTTGTGACAAAGATTATCTTTTTTATGGTTATAATGAGTCGAAAGAGTCTGCTAATAAAATTGTTTTAGAACTAATGAAATACACGAGAACATAATAATGCTATAAGTATGGTTATTTTGGAGAATATTCTGAAAAATAACCAAATGTTTTCTTAAGTGATTCAGAAAGATATTGTAAATTCTTTTGCTGAGGAATTAGTGCAACCCATCATATAAGAAATTAATCATGGTATGTTTGGTCTGTTCGTTGACAAATTTGTTGATGTTTCCGGCAAATAACAAATGGATGTTGTTTTCGATTTGTTGTTAAAAGTGAAACAGTCAAAGAATAGATTTATTGGATTTATCAATGTAAAGAAAATATTTTCTTTTATCTGTGACATTTGTCATTGACAATTTGTTTGCAAAATATGGATTGAGCTTGGATAAGAATCTACAACGCACTAGAACGCCCTTATTGAATAAAGGATTGGACAAGATTATGGGGTAGTTAATATGAAATGTAACTTTAATGCGGTAAAATCATTGGTTGTCACTTGTTAGGAAAAACATTTCACCTTATTATATTCATTGTTTTGTACATCTACTTCAATTGGTTGTGTAATTACCATCATAACCGACTCATACACAACCGACTCATACACAACCGACTCAAGTGGATTGGCAAAACAATGGATATAATAAGTTGAACTGTTTTTCCTGACAACTAATGACCTTAATCCATTAACTTACCATTCATGTTACTTGCTCCATCATAACCTTGTCCCCTCACTTTTTTCAAGGTTTATCCATATTTTGCAAACAAATCGTCAATGATTAACTTTAGAGATAAAGAAGATGTTTCTTTTTACATGGATGACTCCAATAATTTTTTTTTTTGATTGTTCTACTTTTATCAACAAACTGAAAATAACAGTCGTTTGTTCTTTACCAGAAACATCAGCAAACTCGTTAACCAACAGACCAAACACACCATGATCAATCTCTTCTGTGATAGATTGCGCTACTCTATCAACAAAATAATTTACAATATCTTTCTACATTACCGGAGAAACTATCTGGTTATTTTTTGAACCTTATTTATATGATCATTATGTTCTCCGATGTATTTTACTAATTCTAAAAAAATATATCAATTAGCAGCTCTTTCGACTCATTATGACCACGAAAAGATTATCCTTGTTGCAACAAGTACTTGGAAGCATTAACTTTTTTAAAATCAAATAACGTCTTTTTTTGTATTTTAATAAAGATTGATAACAAAGACATAAGCTCGCTAGTTTATTCCATTAGTTGACTTAACAACATGATCAAAATGGCAAAGTCAACGAAAGTTTGGTATTTAATCTGAAAGTCAAGAAAAGTTTACTATATACAGTAGAACCTCTATAAACTAAGACTCGATAAATTAATAAACACGATAAATTAATAAATTTTGCTGGTCCCGAATCGGGCTAGTGCAAAAATTAACCAAATTCGATAAGATAATAAGTTTTTTGAAATCCCTATATAAAATATAGTCCCAATAATATCATAAATTAATAATCATGTACATTTACACATATATATATATATATATATATATATATATAATATATAATAGTTTTAGTGTTTTTCAAAAAATTAGCCAAAAGTTTTTGTAAGTTTTCAAATTTTGAATATGCATAATTTTTGTTTTAATAGTCGTATAGGTTTCTTAAAATACAACAATAGATATCACTATTTGTGAATTTTAATTTATGTATATTGTTTGTATATGTGAATTCTATAATCATTGTTATTCATTGTCAAAATAAATTATTTTCACCTTGAAATATTAAGTATTTAAGGCTAAAACTATAAAATTTATAACATCCAAAACATTAAATTTATTTAGATCACATTGCTGTAACTTGTATTTTTAAAAAAAAAAAGTTTTCACAATTGAAACAAAACCTTCTATAAATTAATAAATATGAATTTACGCTATAAATTAATAAATATTAATTTATAGATAAATTAATATCACTATAAATTAATAAAATATCATGGTCTCAACATTATTAATTTATAGATGTATATGTCATTCCGGAGTAAGTTGAGGATTTAAATCAACAAGATGAAAAAGTTATAGATTTAAATGCATTTTCCCGATAAAAATTTAACCCTAAAAATTATAATCATCTTTTTATTATTATTTAAGGATTATTAAAAAAAACTTGAATGAGAGAATATAAAAGTTTTTTAATATTTATGTATAGTATTCATCATGTTTTATTATTTTTCTTTTTTTTTTGTTACCGTAATTTTTTGTTTTCATCTTCTCAGATAAAAATAACATCCGAATAAAATTTGAAAACCCCGATAACATAAACTAAAACAAAACAAAAAAAAATATTCAATAATTTGCTACATCCCAAACTTGATTGTAGACCCATGCCGACCTTCTAAGTGCCATATCTAAATGAAACTGACTACTTGTCATAATTTTACCAATTGAATAAGAAATTGTATTTGCCGAAAGCGCGACTACACGAAACTAACATTCTCCAAGGATCATGCAACATCAAGAATTTGATCCAAGATGTTACGATATTTTGGCCAATCTTTAGGATTTTTCACTGCATCAATAGCAGCTTGCAATCAGACTCTAGTTGTTTATGCATAACGTAAATATCTTTAACACCATGGATAGACTCTAGTTGTTCAGCAACTAATCAAGAATCGGATGGGGTAAACGCATATTTACTATGGAAGAGTGCCTGACGAAGATGATTTGTTATTGTAGTTTTGTAATTCTATATGCATATCTTAACAAATTTTACACTCTTTTTACAAGAAAATATTTAAGATTTTGTGTTTTCCCGGGTAACTTTTCTTTTTCTCCATCTATTAGATTATATCTTTGAACTCAACGCCTTAGGTTGTTGTTTTAATTTTGTTTGAAACTTATTTTTTCATATATCAACTAACCATTCTTTTTATTTTCTAGAATTCTAATTGAGTAATAGTGTTAATTATATCTTTTCACCTATTAGCATCTCTAAATATTAAGGTTCTTCAACCAAAAAAAATAAGTTAATGCACATAATTTGTAACTGGAATCGAATTCAAAATTAAAACTATGGTTTATATATTGGTTACCAAAGATACGTCATTCTTTTGATCCCAAACTTTTTTTTTGTGTCAACTTCTATGCTACTTTGGTTTGGTAACCCGAAACCAAACCGGAAACCAATTTTTTTTTTGTTCTTTTTCTTTTGGTCCTAAATTTGTCTAATACTTTCGATCCCAAATTTATCGCTCTCTCGTTTCGGAAATTCCAATGACGAAGAAGCAATCTCAACCTTCGAAGAGACAAATTGAAGAAGATCCATCAACGGAGGTGGAGGTGAAACGTGCCAAGATGGAGAATGGACCAGAGACGGAGAACAAACCGATTTTCCAGAGGATAAAAAGTTTCGTTCCCAAATTTGTCTCTTTCGTTTCGGATATCTACTTACCGGAATCTTCCACTGACGACGAAGAAGAAGAAGAAACTGAGCCAGCTGCGACCAAAACAACTCCTCCTGCTACTATTATATGTAGAAAAAAAATTGAGATTTGTTTTAACTCTATGTATGATATGACGATTTAAAGCAGTAAAAAAATGTTCAAACAAAGATGATAGGAGACATGTATTTCTAAATCTTTAGCAAATCTTATAAATATCTATATTTTAAAAAATGGAATATGCGGTTCAGAATTTCGGATATATTTTGACCCGATCCAAAAAAGATATGGAATATCCGGTTCAGAATTTCGAATTTCGGATATCCGGTGTAAGATTTATGAAGAAAAAATTTTATCGGGTCGAGTACCAAATTTGTCGGATAACAATTTAACATACCCGCTAAAAATGTACTTCAAAAATATTAGTATAAATAAATAAAATGATTTCTTAATGTGCGTGTATGCATTTTTCTAAAACATCAAATAAATAAAAACATAGGGAGTATAAGTTACAATTAAATTTTAGTTAAAATATTTTCTAATACTCAAAAGAGTAGTCTTTTTAAGAAAACTAAATGGGTGTATTTTTCAAAAATCAAAAAGAATTTAAGATATGTCCCAAAAATATTTCTATAGAGAAACACACGCATCTCATCTCATCCATGGTTTTTACTCTAATTTTAAAAAGATATTTGCATGTTGGAGCCAATTAAGAACAATATCTAATTTTGGTCCAACCAACAAAACCAAATTTAAGATTTTGTGTTTTCCCGGGTAACTTTTCTTTTTCTCCATCTATTGGATTATATCTTTGAACTCAATGCCTTAGGCTGTTGTTTTAATTTTATTTGAAACTTATTTTTTCATATATCGACTAACCATTCTTTTTATTTTCTAGAATTCTAATTGAGTGGTAGTGTTGATTCTATCTTTTCACCTATTGGCATCTCTAAATATTAAGGTTCTTCAACCAAAAAAATAAGTTAATATGCACATAATTTGTAAATGGAATCGAATTCAAGATTAAAACTATGGTTTATATATTGGTTACCAAAGATATGTCATTCTTTTGATCCCAAACTTTTTTTTTGTGTCACTTCTATGCTACTTTGGTTTGATAACCCGAAACCAAACCGGAAACCAATTTTTTTTTGTTCTTTTTCTTTTGGTCCCAAATTTGTCTAATACTTTCGATTCCAAATTTGTCGCTCTCTCGTTTCGGAAATTCAAATGACGAAGAAGCAATCTCAGCCTTCGAAGAGAGAAATTGAAGAAGATCCATCAACGGAGGTGGAGGTGAAACGTGCCAAGATGGAGAATGGACCAGAGACGGAGAACAAACCGATTTTTCAGAGGATAAAAAGTTTCGTTCCCAAATTTGTCTCTTTCGTTTCGGAATCTACTTACCGGAATCTTCCACTAACAACGAAGAAGATTTAGTCTCCGAATCCGAGACTCACTCTAGTGAGTCTGACTCTGAAACTGAGCCAGCTGCGACCAAAACAACTCCTCCTGCTGCTATGGCGAAGAATCCAATGTTTCAGAGATCGTGGAGTGAAGAAGACCAGATCATGTTACTTGAAGGGATGATTGACTTCAGTAGGGATACAGGTACGAGTGTTTATGATGACATGAATGGGTTTTCTGAAAAGCATAAGGATTCAATTAGTTTTGACGTGAAGAATGTGAATCAGTTCGTGAAGAAAATCTGGTCTTTGAAGAACAAGTATTTCCTGAAAAGGAGAAGTCGTGTCTCTACTAACGTTCATGATAAGAATTGCTTAGAATTGGCTAAGAAGATTTGGGGAAGTGATGTTGATGCCACACTCAAGGTTGATGACTCTTTTAAGGTTGATGGTGTGAAGGTAGAATGTGATTGGTTTGAGAGGTCGTTTCTTGTTGGTGCGTTGAAGAATTTGGGTGCGGGGATTGATGAAGAGACTCTAAAAGAGAAATGGAGTTTGGCACCGCTGAAGACGAGGAAGAGGATAGAAGAAAAGATGAAGTCCGTGCAAGCCAATGAGCTCAAATTGGTGTTGCGAAAGCTTGACGTTTTGCATGAGGTGAGCTCTCTGTTGGCTAAATCACTTAGTTTTTTATGTGCAGGAGGAGAAAATGTTGTATAACTGTAAAAGAAAACATGAATCTGTCTTTCTTTTGAAAAGATGTTTTGTTCATGACACAGATGACAACTTTCGTCACAAGCAAATCCTCCTAATAAGCATAAAAATAGCCGGATATCCGGATCCGGGTTTTTTTAATATAATTTTTTTTTATAAATATAAAATTTGAAGAAAAGTATTTTAAAACAAATAATTTAACATAAATAATTAAAAATATTATTAAAAAGTATTTTTCTTATATAAAATAATAAAATGTATTAATAAAATTTAAATAATAGTAATAAAATATTAAAAAGTATTATTATAATATAAAATATCTCGGATCCGGATATCCGGCTTTAAATTTTCTATTATCCGGATCCGCTTTTTCATTATTCGGATCCGGAGCCGCCCCATCCGAATACCCTGTTTTTCGGAGCAGATCTGAGCGGATCACGGATCCCGGATAATTGGTCTCAAGGCTACTTGTAGTAGAAGTAACACCCACCAACAATGGTGGTGCAATGCTACCCATGGTTTCTAGAAAAATATATGTAAATTAAATGATTTTTAAAGTATGCACTCCATTCAAATATAATTTTGCACCCAACAAATTATTAAATTTTTAATCTCCAAAGCCCAACAAACGTAACAACTATGTAAGCCCACTTTATTTTTCTTGTCGAAGATAAGAATTAGGGCAAACCCCTTATAAATCCAATTATAACCCTCACTTAGACATTCGTTCCCATAGTTTTCTGAAATTACACTAAAACTCTATAGATTTATTTTCTCTGCCGTGAAAGAAGATTAGAGGAAAGAAAATCATACGCTTGAGAAAATTATCACACAAACGAATCGGTAAGTTCTACAAACTTTTTTTATAATTTTCAGTACTTTTATTTGTTTCCTAGTTTTTTAAAATAATTTCTTAAGCTAATTGTAGAATTTTAGGGTTTCTATTCTTAATTTTAAAATTGGTAAAGGATATGCTCGTTTCTAATTGTAACAATAAAACGATGATTGAATATAATAATCAAAACAATGGATGATCATAGTTGCTATTTTGATTTAATATTGGTCAAAAGAAACTCCAGTAACGATAATTGGTGAAAAGTCAAAAACGATAATAGAGTATTTGGTTGTTATACTCCAAATCGTTTGCTCCTATAGTATTTATACGGTTGATTGGTGTTAGTGACTTTATTTAGATGTCTTTATAATCTATGATATATTTATTTAGATGTTTTTATAATCTATGATATATACTTTGATAATGTAAAATAAAATCCGACTCAGATCCTGATAATAATTTGGTTGATTTCTTATAGGATCTTGTTGAAAGGATAATGATATTGGACTACAATTCAAATCGGAGATGAGGTAAGAAGTAAATATTTAACTAGATGTTTATGTTAGTTTTATGGTTATATTTTTCCTCAGACAAAAATTAAAACTGCAATGAGATGATTTAACCCATCTTCGTTTAAAAACTATGGTAATTAGTTAGAGTGTAGTATATCTGTAGAGAAAAAATTTAATTTGTGTTGTATGTTTTCGTGATCATCATGAGTCAAAAGAATCTTTTAAAAACTAGTGAAAATTTATAAGAGAACATACTTTTAATTAGAACGTTCCAATTAAAAAATAACTAGATGGTTTCTCCCATGATTTAGAAAAAAGATATTGTAATTTTTTTTGGTGAGGAAGTAGTGCAATCCATCATAGAAGATATTGATCATGGAGTGTGATATGTTAGTTGACGAGTCTGTTGATGTTTCTGGCAAAAAAACAAATGATTGTTGTTTTTTTATTTTGAGATAAAAGTCGAACAATCAGTAAAAAATTTATTAAAGTAATCCATGTAAAACCAAAAAAAAAAGTTTTTTTTTATTTGTGAAATTAATCTTTGACGATCTATTTGCAAATTAAACTTGAAAATGGTAAGGAAAAAATGTTATAATGGAACAAGTAATATGAAAAATGATTTTAATGGGTTAGGTTTATTGGTTGTGAGGGAAAATAGTTCAGCTGATTATATCTATTGTTTTGGCTATCCACCTTAATTTGTTGTAGTGGCATCATAAAAGTGATTTTTCACAACTGCTCAATCAACTGAAGTGGATGAGCAAAACAATGGATATAATAAGCTGAACTATTTTCTGTGACAACAGATGATCTTAACCTATTTAACTCACCTATCATAACCTTGTCCCCTCATTTTTTTCAAACTCAATCCATATTTTGCAAAAAAAATGTCAATGGCAGACTTCACATAAATAACATGTTTATTTACATGGATGACTCCAATAAATCTTTCTTTGACTGTTCCACTTTTATCAATAAATTGAAAAACAATAGCCATTTTTTTTTTGTCAGAAACATCAGCAGACTCATCTACCAACAAATCAAACTCACCATGATCATTTTTTTATGATGAATTGCACTAGCTACTTCCTCATCACAAGAATACAATATCTTTTTTAATCACTAGAGTTACCATCTGAATTTTTTTCAGAGCATTTTCCAAAATAACCTTACTTATAGTATAATTATGTTCTGATGTTCACTAGTTCCAAAAAAGCTTCTATTAGCAGACTCTTTCGGATCTTCATGAACGAAAAAATAATCATGTGATACTCATTTTTTCCATGTAGCACTCGGCTTATATAAAGCATGCATGAAATACTGGCTTTGATTCTTCAAATCATCACATTTTAAAAGCAATATTATGAAAGCTATTTGGCGTTTACCCACATGTTCACCCAAATCTGAGGTTCCAACTAGAAAACCCTTCTGCCACAAACGCATCAATTCCAACTTGTTTAGGTATATCAGATTTGAAAAAGTAGCAACACAAATAGATGGCTTTTATCTACCGAGATATTATACTCTTGCTAGTTACCATACTGTTTAAACCAAGCTGGGTTAAATCGCCTCATTGCATTTTCAGTTTTTCTCTCGGGAAAATATGTATATAGGATTGACATAAATCTCTTGTTAAGTATTTGCGTCTTACCTCATCTTTCTAATTTGAATGGTAGTCCAATATTATTTTTATTCTCTGATAAATCATCCAAATTACTGTTAGGATGTGAGTCGGATTTTCTATTACAATCTCATAAATTGTAAAAACATGCAAATAAAATCACTGATACCAAACAAACATATATTAATTAATCGTAGTAAAAAACTTCAATCAACCGTATAATTATCGAACGAGCAAACGATTTGAAGTATAAAACCAATCAACCATAATTGAATGGTAGTCCAATATTATTTTTATTCTCTGATAAATCATCCAAATTACTGTTAGGATGTGAGTCGGATTTTCTATTACAATCTCATAAATTGTAAAAACATGCAAATAAAATCACTGATACCAAACAAACATATATTAATTAATCGTAGTAAAAAACTTCAATCAACCGTATAATTATCGAACGAGCAAACGATTTGAAGTATAAAACCAATCAACCATAATTTTAAAAATTTTGTCGCGGTGAACGCATCTCTCTTATAGAAATGTTAGTGTAGTTTTGTAAGAGCAACATTATCAATGGTCTCTTAGGACAACTCTTAAGTTAGAGATATCATAACTAACAAAAGTCTCTTAAAGTCTCTTAACTAACTAAGAGCATCTTTAACGCAGAGCTCTTAAGCAATTCTTAGATGATTCTTAGGTTTAATTTGATTTAAATTAAATGATAGATATTGATTTAAGTTAAGGAACGTTTCTTATATAAGAGTCAAAACACATCCTAAGAGACGGCCACGTGTCAAGTTGAAACGGAAAAAAATAAAGAAGCTCAAGATTCTCTCTCTTCTCCTCCTCTCTCTTTCTCTCTTTCACGTTTCTCCTCTCTGGCTTGGAGGAGATTTCGCGATTGACCTCTTCTTCTTCACAATTCAGTTTCCAGTTTCTCAAAATCTTAAAATCAATCTCTCAATCGTGAATTCGTGATCAAGGTAAATTTATGGGTTCTATTTCAGTTTCTTCGATTTGTATCGTTCCATCCCAATTTAGTCTCTGTTCTTTGAATTTGATTTGGTTAATCGTTGATCGGAGACGATTAGGGTTCATAGTTTGATCTATGGACTGATAGAGATGGTCCTCAATTGTTTGAGAGTGTTGATCGTTATATATCATCTTAATTCTCGATTAGGGTTCATAGTTTGATCTATGGACTGATAGAGATGGTCCTCAATTGTTTGAGAGTGTTGATGATTTGCCTTCTGCTAGGTTTTTTCCTAAAGGTGTTGTTCATAGTGTCAAACCTTATGGTAGATTATCATCAACCTCTGTTGTTGATGGTGATTCTGATGGTGAAGTGAGTGAGGTAAAAGATGAAGAAATTGGGAAGAAGCTACGTGGTCGTAGGGGGAGGAATAGATTTGGTGTCATGGGGATAGAGAGAGGTGAAGGAGGTAAGAGGAGGATTGAGAATCGTGTTAATGGTGGGAGATTGAGAAATGGAAAATCTTCTCAGGTGTATGAAATGACTTTGCAGAATGGTGGGAGATACGAAATTGGATCTTAGGTAAGAGTTCTTCACTTTGTTGATCAATGTCTCTGAACATAAACATGTATGTAAACTGTAATAGTGTGCTTATGAAAAGTCTTCAGTTTTAGGGAAACAAATCTCTGTTCAAGTAAGTTTTGGGTGATGGATCAATGATTGGTATTATAAATGATTTGAGCATACGTTACAGCGTGGTATTCAAAGACAGAAGTTGCAGGAATTTGTTCAAGGGCTGCCAAGGGAGAGGAGAAGAGGAAGGAAGTAGTTGCAGAGGAATCAGATGGAGAAGAATACGGTGGTTTATACATGTCATGTCATGAAAGAGTTCCATATAGTGTGTTATTCCACAAACTGCAAATGACTTTCGTGCTAATTTTTAGTTAGTAGTCATATGAATCGTTTAGAACAAAAAAAGAAGTGGGAGTCAATAATGAAATCATAAAGGCAAATCGCTTTTGATGTCTTATTAGTCTTGAAATACTATGTTTAGACAATAGTGTTTGATGTGATTATGAACTCTTTAAACACCAATTACACCAAATTCACTTTGTTTCTTTTATTTCTTTGTCCCAATACACAAAACAGTAATTATGAATCTCTTGTATATCTTTGTGCCAATACACCAAACACCAATTATTTTGTCACATATCTTCTTTTTCTCCACAAAACCAAACACACATAAACCAAAACCATATCTTCCTTTTCTCCACAAAACCAAAACCATATCATGTATGATTTAAAATTTTAATTTGCAACGATTATTAAGTTTTCTAAACATAAAATTGTTAATTTTATTTTATTTTTATATTACTATTTTTTTTTCTAAGAACCATATGTTAAGAGCCTACTATTAAACACACACAAAATCTTAACCCAAAAATACAATCTCTTAACTATCACTTTTACAAATTTATTACTTAAATATTGCTAAGATTAATTTCTAAGAGACTACATATAATCATGCTCTAAGAGACTTTTGTTAGTTATAAGACATATCTCTTAACTTAAGAGTTGTGTTAAGAGACCATCAATAAAGATGGTCTTATTATATTTGCATATCTTAATTAACAAACTTTATGTCAATACACTTTTTACAGAAAAATATTCTGCGTCAATACAGTACGTTTAATGTATAGCATATTTAAGTAAATTTAGTGTTAGTAATCTCTGCACTATATTACAATATGACTACTTAGCTCAAATAGATATTTTTTATTACCCTTTTGTGAGTTTTGTTTTACATAAAGAAGAACAACAGGATTATAAGCATAGCACCCACACTAGTAAAGAAATCATCATTGTGATTAAGCGGCATATGAATAACAGTAAAATATTATAGGAGATTCAAACAACAGATTGTTGTCAAGAGATTCAAAACATCATCAAGATTCTAATCTTTAGTGTATTCATTTGTGTTGGTGAAGAGGAAAACAGAGCTCCACCTTTATTTTCTTACACTAAGACAAATTAATTAGAATCAGTATATAATTTTAATGTATGTTTGATTCTTTTCTATTCCCTTTTCAAGATTCTAATTTCAAGAATTGTGATATTCTTATATTAATGTAAAACGAAAACCTAAATCTATGTTTTGTTCTAAAAACCAATGGTTACTTTCGTCACAAGCAAATCAAGTTTGATTTATAAAGCTTCTTGCTCTATGCAACACAGATGCTAGTGACTACTTTGAGATTCTTTAACTCACTCAACTTTATCCGAAATTACAATAATACCCTCCTCTCCCAATGTGCAAATTTTCTTTTTACCTTTAACAATTTCAAAGCTCGTAAAACAAAGAACCTCGTGTTCCTCGTATCCAATCCTTCTCCCTCTGCAATAGGTCCACATACTCTGAAAAAGCACCAATTTTCCCGCCAATAAACAAAAGCTGCTTCTTAGTTCTTACAACTATACCACTCTTCTCCTCTATGTTCTGCTCACACATCCCCACATAGAGAGTTAAAGATGAATAGCTCTTCAAAGGTGATAATGGCAGCTACAATGGTAATGGTAGTGAGCTTAGTCATGGTTTTAAGCTTAGTCTTAGTCCTACTAGCTGAACTCTACTGCTCTCTCTTACTCCGCCGCCGCCGAAACCATCACTCCCTGAACCTCCCCATCACCACCGTCTCCACCGCAGCAACAACAACCACCACAACTCTAAACCAAGTCATCTCCACCACAACCAACGACAACACTTCACCATCTAACATCAATTCTTCTTCACCAAATCCTCTCTACACAGGCGTTCTTCAAACTCCAACCAAAACCTATTTTCACCATGAACCATCTTTACAAGCTTCTCTTGATCTGATTCAAGAAACCATTGTTAACGATTCTGGTGATAATAACTTCATCTACATATCAAACCCAATGTACTCAAACGAAGCTACAAGTAAACCAACCACACCGTTTGAAACCCCTGAGTCTTCACCGTCACGGCTTGAAACCGGTGAGTCATCATCGTCTTCTTCCGGCGAGGAAGAAGATAACGATATAATCGAAGTTTCAACACCAACATTAGCTCCAATGAAGGATCTTCCTGAAAAAGCATGCTCTGTTTCACTAAAAAATGTGGAAACTTCTGCTAGTGAATCAAATTCGTCGTCTGGTTCGCCGTATACTTCACCGTCGTGGTAGGGTTTTCTTGTAATATTTTAGGGTTTTGTTTAATTTTTTTGTCTTTTAACATTTAATATTTGTTTGGAGTGTTCTTGGAATGTGTTTGGTTTGTGGACATATGGCTCGATGACCAAAGCCACGCTTGTTTTCATAGAGTTTCCTCCAACTGTCGTTTTCTGTGTTCTGATTCTGTCCTTTCTGGTATAAAAGCTGTTTTACACCTAAAAGTTAGTTTTATAATAATAACTCAAAAGTAGGATAAAGCTACAAACTTTAGCTAGTTGTTAAAAATTTATGGTTTAATTGTTCTGAGTTTAATTCGTCTTATTGACTCCTTGGTTAAGTAAATTGCACATAACTCTCATATTAATTAGTTAAAAAATATTGTAAGATAGACTTGCATCTATAAAAACTGCCAAAAATATATGTAGTCTGTTCGTTTCATTGCCGCAGGCGGCAGCGGCAGCGGTGGCGGCAAACACTACCGCAGGTTGTTGTTCGTTTTGTCGCCGCCGACGCTGCGGCAACTGCTGCCGCTGCCGCAAGTTTTATGTTCGTTTCAATACCGCTACCGCTGCCGCCGCCGCTGCGACAATTTTTATTTAATTCTTATTTTATTTTTATATATTTGTATAATTATATTTTGAATTAAAAAAAATGTAATGTAAATATATTTACATCCATAAGAAATAATTGTTTAGCTAGTAATAATTTTTAGTTAATTATATAATTATAACAATATAATTTTGTGATAAATCATGAGCTAAATTAAAACAAAAATAGTAAACCAATACATTTAACTAAACTTAATACACCAAGTCATAAACAAAAAAATAAGACTTGTTTATTTTGATTTTTACTCCAAATTCCAAAGTTCCAAACCAATTGAGAAAATTAATGCACACATTATATATTATTTTGATTTTTACTCCAAATTCCAAACCAATTGAGAAAATAATATACATAATTTTAGGTATGTAATTAGTAAAAGAAGTCCCCAACAAATAAAATTTTATTCCAAACATTATATTCCAAACATCCAATACTAAAGCAGAGACAGTCTTCTAATGTACTCATCTATCTCTATCAGATTTTGATCCTGATGAACCAGTGGGTCTCTTGAAAACGTTTGCAAACTCCATGACTAAATCCTCATGACCCTGAAGAAGTGCAACGACCTGCAAGCAATGATCCTAAACTAGTCACACACTGCTCATTTTCATATCTAAAAGCATAGACATAATTCTAGATAATTCAAAACAAGCTTGCTACCTCAAAAATTCAAAAGCAAAAAGCAGAGAATACTATTTTGAATAATATATACACTCACAGGATTGTCAATGGCAAAGACTTTATGGCAAACAAGAAGATCCGCAGAGACTCCAACAAGTATAGGTCTTAATTTGTGCAGCTTGTCTCTTCTCATAAATGTAACTTAATGTTAGTATAGAATATAACTAAGAGAAGCTCACAGTTTGGTACCTGCAATGACATTAGATATCAAGTAAGTTACAACATAATCAAAGCTTAGCTCTATGCTTAATATGTATTTTTGGTATAGTTAGAATGACTAACGTCAAGAGCACTTAGAGCAGTTATTAATCACTAGTTCTTACCAAATTCAACACTTTCAAAATGAATGTCTCTTTGATGACTCTGGATTAAAATGGACAGAATAATTATTCAATGAAACAAGCAAGAGCATAAGAATTCCCAAAAAATAGACTAACCAGAGACAAAAACATCTCAATGAAATAGCAAGTAAGAAAGGTTTCATCAAACAGTAAGATCTATGATGCATCCATCCAATTCTTTTACTACAGAAATTAAGTGCTTATCCAAATTTCGAGTCTTGTTCCTCCCTAATCAAACTTCACAGATTCTAGTCAGCGTATGTGGGTTTGAAACCATTGTATATCCCTAAACCAAACAATGGAAATCAGATGTAGCAGCTAGCACAATTATGAAGTGTTTCTAGATTGAGTCACATATCTTATACTTCAAAAGCTACATTGGTAAATTCATACAGAGATAGAGAGAAGGCAAACATGATTGGAACAAGATAAGTGTCAATTGCAAAGCTTTAAAACGCAGGCCAAGTCAAGATTTTGAATCAACACAAGGCAAACAAAGGGACAGATAGACATATAGAATTTGCTTACAGGGAATAATCGCTTTTGCACCAAAACCAATTGAAACAAGAACAAAAGGACATCACAACAACTCCGTTCTATAAAAGCTAAAAACCAAACATGAAGAAATGCTCTGTTCTATAAAAGCTACACCAATGAATTCTACACATAATTGTTTCTAACTCGAAACAAACACCAAGCTAGCAACAACAAGAAAACCCCAAATGAGCAAAATTCAACAGTTTCAAATCGTACCTTTTGGTTCTGCAAAGTGAAGAACGATTCTAAACCATGTAGCTAGAGATTGTATTGTTCCCTAAACCGTTACAAAAACCCAGAAACAAAGATCAAAAGAGAAGAAGAGTCAAGAGAAGAGAAATCTGAAAGATCAAAACAAAAACGAAGTCTTGATGGTTACAAACCTGATGCAAGTAAGAGTGGACACTTTAGGAGAAATCTGAGGAGAACCCAATTCGTCGATGAGACGATTTCAGCGGCGTCGATGAGAGAAGAGAAGTGACAGAGGAATCGAAGAACAGAATCGAAGAACAGAATCGCTTGGTTTGTTTGTGATTTCTCAAAAATAATAAGGGTATTTGTGTCATTTACCACATATAACGCAGCTTTTTAGTCATCGACGCTGAATTTAATCGGCGTCCAAAAATTATCGCCGCCGAACGCAGCGTTTGCCGCAGCGTCTTACCGCAGGTAGCTGCGGCAACTAAACGAACATACATAGCTGCGTCTGCCGCAACCGCAAGTACCTGCGGCGATGAAACGAACAGCCTAAGGATCTAATTATAAATCCACTTCTTATCTTACGTTTTTAAGTGGAAGCATGTTGGTCTAGATGTCAATAAAAAAAAAAAAAAGGAGAAAATTAGAAATAAAGTATTCCCTCTGTTCCTAATTGTTTGATGTTTTGAGGTTTTCACACATATTAAGAATTCAATCATTGTTTAATCATTTGAACATTAATTTTGATATTACATATTTTAAAATAAATATCAACCAATAGTATTCTAAGAAAGTTAATTATTTTCAATCATTACGCCTTGAAGTTTATGATTTATTAATATAAATAAATAAAAATAAAGAAAAAATCTAGAAAATCAATCTTTGTGAGACAAATAACAAAAGTTAGAACATCAATCTTTTAGGAACGGAGAGAGTATATTTTTTTTTGTTAATTTGTCCAACTATACTTTTTCTAGTTATGTTATTTTATAATAATTAAAAACCTATTATACCTTTAATTATTTAAAAATGAAATTACAAGAAAAAAAAAACACTTACGTGGCTGGTCATCTAATCCATGTAAAGAAAGTTATTAATTATATCATGAAGTAAGATATGCTTGCTAGATCTACAAAGCTTATAAGATAGACTAGATTTTAATCTGCGGTACACCGCGAGATGATTTATTTTAAAGTTAGTATAAGAATATTTTATAAATTGTATCTCCTTATAAAATATTTATTTATATTATAGTTTACAATTGTTAATAAGTAACGGTATACCACGAGTCTGCGAGATAATTGTTAATAAACTGAAGATTTAACCCGTATTAAAGCGGCATGTTAATGATATTTATAAATATTGATTCAAATTTGTCCGCCATATAAACCCGTTCCAAAATATAACTCGTTCCGTAATTTTTTAACTTGTCCAGTAATTTATTTTTATTTTAAAATTTAATGATTATTTATTATATATAAAAGTTTACAAATCATATCATTCTCTAAGACATTTGTATTTTAATAAACTGAAGATTTAATCTGTATTAAAGTGGCATGTTAATGATATTTTAAAATTTTATAAATATTGATTCAAACTCGTCCACTGATAGAACTCTCCTAAGATCGGCACTCTTGAGGTTGAGTAAGGGATGGACTTTGCATCAAAGAGATGGGAATATCAAGTTGGTGCAAAGGAAATGGATTGAATGGTCGCACAAAGGTTGCGGAAGGCCTTTGATTTACCGATCTTGATCTCGTTGTTGGATATTACGCACCAAAGAGAAGAACAAGAAATTGATCTAACTTGAAAGAGTTTTTGATAAAAGATTAGATGTTTTTCAAAGAAGAAGTACAAGTGACTTAAATAGAGAAGTGAGAAGGGGAAGAGTTAGTCTTGGAACAAGCTCCAAGAAAACTCGGAAATAACAAAGCATCAAAACGAAAATTGAACACAAAATATGACCCTTGGCCTTCAAATTTGCGAGATTCTTCTTCTTCTTTAGGATGGGCTGGGCCGAATTGATAATGGGGGTTTTGGAAGTGTTACTCAAGCCTCATTAAAAACCTACTAAGGAAACCCATTGGGACAAAACCTTAGAAGGGAAAAAGAGTACCCAAGTAACACTTAGCCCATTACCAATTTTCTTGGGCTATTATCGAAACCAAAGTGGTTTGGATAACTCCGCTTGTGCGCTGGTCCAAGTGTCTAAGGAGTCTGCTAACGGCTTGGTTGAGAAGTCTTGTCTTTGAACGAGTCATCGGACCCGTTGGGTCGGCCAAAGCTTCCTCCGCTACATGTTGCTCCTCGGCTACGAGCTGTTCCTCGGCTACGAGCTGCTCCGGTGGTTCTAGTTCCGAGTCTTGTTCGCCCATAGTCATATCATGCCCTCCCTCTTGAAAAGGATTTGTCCTTAAATCCGTTTCATCTACAAGAAAAGGAGATAAATCACCAACGTTAAAGCTTGAACTTATGTTATACTTACCTCGGAGATCAATTTGATAAGAATTGTCATTGATCCGTTTTTGTGATAGTGAATGGCCCATCGATCCTTGGCATCAATTTGCTACTCCTCTCGGCTGGGAATCGTTCCTTTCTTAAGTGTATCCAAACTTGGTCACCACTCTCAAAGACCACATGTCGCCGGCCCTTGTTTGCTTGTTCGACATATTTCTTCGTTTTTTCTTCAATGTTCTTCCGAGCACTCTCATGGATTTGTTGCACCATTTCGGCCTTTCTTTTCCCATCTAAGCTTGTTCTTACACTCAAAGGCAAAGGCATCAAATCCAAAGGAGAGGTGGGATTGAACCCATAAACAATTTGAAATGGCGAAAACTTAGAAGCGGAATGAACGGCATGATTGTATGCAAATTCTATATGCGGCAAACATTCTTCCCAAGTCCTAAGATTCTTTTTAATCAATGTGCGCAAGAGTGTGCCTAAGGTTCTATTAACCACTTCGGTTTGCCCATCGGTTTGCGGATGACAAGTAGTAGAGAATAAGAGCTTAGTTCCAAGTTTAGACCACAATGTTTTCCAAAAATAACTAAGAAACTTGGTGTCCCTATCCGAAACAATGGTTCTAGGCATGCCATGCAAACGAACAACTTCCTTAAAGAACAAACTAGCAACATGAGATGCATCATCGGTTTTATGACAAGCAATGAAATGCGCCATCTTAGAAAACCTATCAACGACTACGAAAATCGAGTCCTTTTTGGTTTTAGTACTAGGCAATCCAAGCACAAAATTCATTGATATGTCAGTCCAAGGATGAGAAGGAATGGGTAAAGGAGTATACAAACCGTTCGGTTGCACTTTGGACTTAGCCTTTTTACACGTGACACACCTTCCACATATACGTTCAACGTCTCTTACCATGTGAGGCCAATGGAAATGATCCTTCATTATCTCAAGAGTTTTGGCAACTCCAAAGTGCCCCATAAGTCCTCCTCCGTGTGCTTCCCTAACAAATAAGTCTCGAAGGGAACATTTAGGGATACACAAACGGTTACCATAAAAGAGAAATCCGTCTTGCCTATGATAGCGGCCCGAAGCCAACTTAGGACAAGCCTTATAAATTTCTTGAAAATCCGGATCAGAATCATAGAGTTCTTTAATTTGTTCAAAACCCAAAAGCTTGGCATCAAGAGTTGAGAGTAAGGTGTACCTTCGGGATAATGCGTCGGCTACGACATTATCCTTACCTTTTTTATACTTTATGACATACGGAAATGTCTCAATGAATTCTACCCACCTTGCATGTCTTTTGTTGAGTTTTTGTTGACCCTTGAGATGCTTGAGAGATTCATGATCGGTGTGTATGACGAACTCCTTCGGCCATAAGTAATGTTGCCACGTTTGTAAAGCCCGGACCAAAGCGTAAAGTTCTTTGTCATACGTCGGATAGTTTAAGGTGGCACCACCGAGCTTCTCACTAAAATAGGCTATGGGCTTCTTATCCTGCATTAAAACAGCTCCAATACCTATACCGGAGGCGTCACATTCGATTTCAAAGGTTTTAAGAAAATCGGGTAAAATCAAAATAGGAGCATTAGTAAGCTTCTCTTTAAGGGCTTGAAAGGCTTTCTCTTGAGCTTCTTCCCATTTGAACCCAACATCTTTCTTGATTACTTCGGTGAGTGGTGCGGCTAAGATGCTAAAATCTTTAACAAAACGTCTATAGAAACCGGCAAGGCCGTGAAAGCTCCGAACTTCTCCAACGGTTTTAGGGCTAGGCCCTCTTTGATCGCCTTAACTTTCTCCTCATCTACCTTAACACCATCTGCACTTACAACAAAGCCTAGGAAAACAAGATTATCCGTGCAAAAGGTGCACTTCTTAAGATTCGCAAAAAGCTTTTCCTCCCTAAGGACTTTTATGACCGATTCTAAATGATCAATATGTTCAGCCATGTTCTTGCTATAAACCAGAATATCATCAAAATAAACTACCACGAAATGACCAATGAATGCTCTAAGGACATGGTTCATTAAGCGCATGAATGTACTAGGTACATTTGTCAAACCGAATGGCATAACTAACCATTCGTACAACCCATGTTTCGTTTTAAATGCAGTTTTCCATTCGTCTCCTTCTTTCATTCTAATTTGATGATAGCCACTTTTCAAATCAATTTTAGAGAAAATGCATGAACCATGCAACTCATCAAGCATATCATCAAGTCTAGGAATAGGGTGGCGATACTTCACCATAATATTGTTGATTGCCCGGCAATCGACGCACATACGCCAACTCCCGTCTTTCTTTGGCACAAGTAGGACCGGAACGGCGCACGGACTCATACTCTCGCGGATATGCCCTTTAGTCATGAGTTCGTCGACTTGTCGTTGTAATTCCTTGGTCTCCATCGGATTGGTTCGGTAGGCCGGACGGTTTGGTAGTGTTGCTCCCGGCACAAAGTCAATTTGGTGTTCAATTCCCCGGATAGGTGGTAAACCATTGGGGCTATCTTCGGGAAACACATCCTTGTAATTCTGCAAAAGGGAAGTCAACTCACTCGGATCGGCCGGTGCAAGGTTAGCCAAAGTCGTTAGTGCTTCTTTGTAAACCAATAACAAAATAGGTTGTTTAGAGAACATAGCTTGCTTAACCTTGTTAGCATTAATAAAGAAATTAGACTGTTTATGAATTTTGGTTTCCTTGGCCGAGAGTTGGAGTTGATCCTCACATACCTCTTGTGGCGTCAATGGAATAAGAGTGGTCTTCTTGCCTTTGAACATGAACGAGTATCGGTTAGTAAAACCGTCATGGATCACTCTCCGATCCGATTGCCATGGTCGGCCTAAAAGGATATGTCCGGCGTCCATTGGTAGTACGTCACAAAGAATTCGGTCCTCGTAGCTTCCGATCGCTGATATGTCTATAATTTGCATGATTTAAGCATTCATTCTTCATCACTTTGTCATTGTTTCAATCACATTTCATCTCATTAGTAGTCGTTTTAGTGTGTTTTGCATATTTAGGACGTTTTTGCATTAGGATTGCATGTGCATCGCATATTTGGTTGTTTTCAGG